CCCTAGGGTTTGCTGTATGGGATAATTTCTGTTGCTCATTTCGAATTGATTGATAGCAGGAACCGCATTATACATCTTCCATGGACTTTTTAAAGATGAGAATAGGTCATTGACCTAAAATTACCCAGGTCGACATTTTGTTTTTAGAAACATTCTTCCTAGCGTAATCCTTGTCGCTTATTTAAATGCAAAACTGAGAGCAGTCTTGTATGATTTTGGTCACCATGACCTTTAAAAGTTCAAGCAAGGTCACTGACCTCAAATGAGAATGTGCCATTTTGCTTGGAAACTGCTATCTAAGTTCAACGGGCACTTTGGAGACAAACCTGAAATTTTGCCTTGTTTGACCTTATTTGATCCAAAGCCTAGGAGCCTCAAACTTTGACCTAAGTGAGTTCACGTACAGGTCAACACACCCTGTTAAGTTGGTGTCTCTAGCTCCCTTGGTTCCAGAGATCTCAGCAGAGGTCAAAATGACTCCCCACCCGGGAGAAAGACATCTAGCCGGCCACCCGGGCTCGCGCTAAAGGGTGGGCTGGACGCCGGGAAAAGAGCGCCTCGGAGCCACGGTCGCCAGCGGGACGAGGGCGACTGCACCGCAGGGCACATCTGTCCAGCGGCACAGTCTAACAGGCCAGGCGGCCGGGGCAACTCGGGTCCGACTGCCCGGTGAAACGAACTTGTCAATATTATTAAAAACTGAGCATGTGAACTCAACTGGCCAACTTGCGATACCATGCAGTTACTCGGCGGTGCAATAACTGCACCAGCCGGTGTCACGGGGCGGGCTCACTGGGGCCCGTCGGGAGAGCACGGCTCCTTCCAACACAGGTCACCCAGCCAATTACATCGGGTAAGAAAACACCGGTACAAACAGGGGAAAAAAACTGATGTTGAGAAATTTGGGTAATATGCGTGACCGGTATGCGATACAACCGGTTTGGATAACAAATTTTGGGGGGTAAAAAATACAAACCGATACACACATGCCCCGTCACTGATGATATTTTTGCAACGTGGCTGCCGGTACCGCGCTACCATGGCTGGTGGCACCGCGCCTGTTCACGCTACCAGTCAACTATGGTGCTGCGTCAGTCACGGCATCATGTGTGTAGCCATTGCTCTAAAAAGCACAAGCTCACTCATTAGTTGATATAGTCCTTATAGTCATGGAGCGTTTGTATGGCGCCGGGGTCACCGCCAGGGGTCGCTGCAGCGTAAGGCATAGTTCACGTGTAATACAGCTTCGCGTGGCAAGGTGGGGCTATTGCTTTGTGTGTGACCTATAAGCGGTCATATGCGCGTAATTTTTAGCCTTTTCATGTGTATTTTTGTATACATTTTCATAACGGAAAGAGACAAAGCTGTTGCTACTGCAAAAAAGTCAGGCTGTTCATGCGCCCACGCAATAGGGTGATACAAGCCAAGGGCTGCTGAAAAAAGCAACCACTCACATCGGCGGACTACGGTCGGGGGGGGGGGGGGGTGACTATTATCACTTGCGCCCGGTTAAATCGTCAACATATGTTCAAAAAGGCCGTCAGAACCACTGCCCGTAGTGGCTCTGATGTTGCTTTGATGGCGCCGAAGTTGCCAATACGGCGTCCGCCGGTAGTTCCCGCTCATCCGCCGAGGGAAAATACTGGAGCAAGCTGGCAAGATTTGCCGACACACACCAATGGAGTACACTTTCCTCGATGTATTTGACACCTAAAAAGTCGTGCAAATCCACCGGAAATCCACTGAAAATGACGTGTGCGCTGCTTCATTTGTTGCGTTGGGATGGTTTGGATTGGCTCCATTCCGGTCGGCACTGCCAACCTCGCCCGAGAACGAACGCCGCGTATGCAAACCATGCCCAACCATGGTAATGCAAACCACGCGCGGATGCTGGGAGCGCTTCTGCGGCAGGGTGCCTGCCGTTTAAATAGCCGGAAATAGCCGGAAAACGACCCGAAAACGGACTGTGCGGCGGCTCCGATGGCTGGGATATGGCGATCCTGGCCGCGGTTAGTATGCAGGCGGCCTCTGGTTCGACGCTGCGGGCCGAGGTCGGTGCTGCCGGCCGCTCCCGGATCTCACGCGCGGCACCGCACTGCTGGGGGAGGGGAGGGGAGGGCAAGGGGTAGAGGGACGGGTGGGACGGGAGAGAGGGAGAGAGGGAGAGAGGTAGAGAGGAAGAGGAAGAGGAAGAGGAAGAGAGAGAGAGAAAGAAAGAAAGAAAGAGAGAGAGAGAGAGAGAGAGAGAGAGAGAGAGAGAGAGAGAGAGAGAGAGAGAGAGAGAGAGAGAGAGAGAGAGAGAGAGAGAGAGAGAGAGAGAGAGAGAGAGAGAGAGAGAGAGAGAGAGAGAGGGAAGAAGGGTAGAGGATAAAGAGAAGAGCTGGGAACGGGCAGTGACAGAAAACACAATGGGAAGGGAGAAGTACTTAGAGAGGGGGCAAGAAAACGACAAGAGGGCAGGGGAAAGAGAGACAAGGAAATGCAGGTAGTGGTTGAACGATTAGTGGATGATTCGGAGAGGGAAGAAAAGATAGAAGAAGAGGCCAAGAATGTGGAAAGGAACGTGCGAATGGGTCAAAGTTGCGTTGGAATGAAGGGGAAAAAACCAGAAAGGGAAAAAATAGTTTGTTGATGACGGCAAGAGATGTAATATGGTTTTCAGCCGAAGCCTTGAGATCTGGAGTTATATTACCTGTGTAACTGAATAACATGTTGTATATGCTGCTGTGAGTAAAATGCCCTGTAAGCAAATCAAACATTTTTCTCAGAAATCGATAGGGACAGAAATATGGTTGCCAGCCCTGTTATGGTATTAAGGGATCGAGAAAGGGCTGTAGAGCTGTACTGCGGAAATCAGTTAGGTACACATGCACGAACAAATCAAAAGGACCAGGACATTACACCAGACAGGCTGCGAGGAAATAGATGTAATATTACACCAGACATGCTGTGAGGACATCTATGTAATATTACACCAGACAGGCTGTGAGGACATGGATGGAATATTACATCAGACAGACTGTGAGGACACGAGTGCAATATGACACCAGGCAGGCTATGAGGACCCGAGTATAATATCACATCAGACAGGCTGTGAGGACACGAGTGCAATATGACACCAGGCAGGCTATGAGGACCCGAGTATAATATCACACCAGACGGGCTGTGAGGACATGAGTGTAATATTGTACCAGACACACTGTGGGGACGTGAGTGTAATATAAATGTACACATGGTATAAATGTACGAATATGACATCACACCACATGTGAGAACAGGCTTGTGTCGAACCCAGCACGCTTTCCTTTGTGCGCTGTCACTGATAACATATTTGTGTTGCCTTGTAACAACTGGAATGCAACCCAAACGCTAACACTGTCAGAATAAAGCTTGGATTTTTCTTTTGACGCAAGATTTCCACGAATATCAGCCATTCATCTAGCGGTGCGTAGGATGTTAACGATCACCGGCCGTACGCCCTAGCACCCCTGCAATACGGAGCGCGACAGCCCTGGGTCTGTCACCCACCACAACAGCCCTGGGTCTGTCACACCACCACAACAGCCCTGGGTCTGTCACACCGCCACCAACAGCCCTGAGTCTGTGACACCGCCGCAACACCGCCCTGGGTCTGTCACACCACCCCACAACAGCTCTGGGTCTGTCACACCCCACAAACACACAGCCCTAGTCTGTACACAAACCGCCACAACAGCCCTGGTCTGTCACACCGCACACCGCCACAACAGCCCTGGGTCTGTCACCGCCAAACGACATGGGCACCGCCACACAGCCCTGGGTCCGTCCACACAGCTCATCAAGAGCCCTGGGTCTGTCACACCGCCACAACAGCCCTGGGTCTGTCACACCGCCACAAGAGCCCTGGGTCCGTCACACCGCATGAACCATCTCTGGAACTCGTTGGTTGATCTCTAGTGGATCTCTGGGGATCTCTGGTAGATCTCTGATGGATCTCTCCATGGATCGCCTGCCATATATCCGTCTGTCAGCTGTCAGTTGGACACTTCCTCGTCGCGCACGTCCGCTTGTCTTTTTGATGACGTGTGTTGATGACGTGTTTTGATTAAGTGTATGGGTTTTTTTGTGTGGCCTATCCGCAGCCCCCGTGAGCAGGACCTCCATCCGACGCGTGTGTTGGGTGCTATTCCAGTGATCGAGTGGTGGTTTATATATATATATATATATATATATATATAGATATGTTTATATATTTATATATTTATATATGTATGCATATATAACAATCATTGCTTCGCGGTGGCATCTACTAGATTGTTGCCATAAGTACCTGAGTGGCTTGGATGGATGGGCGAGAGTGTGAACATACGGCGGTTTGCTGTTGATACGGCCCGTCTAATCGGGGCGAAGTCGCGTTCCGTGCGCGGCCGCAGTCTGCAGTCAGCCAGTCAGTCTGCAGTCAGTCAGTCAGTCTGCACAGTCAGCCAGTCAGTCTGCACAGTCAGCCAGTCAGTCTGCACAGTCAGCCAGTCAGTCTGCACAGTCAGTCAGTCTGCGCAGTCAGTCAATCTGCAGTCAGTCAGTCAGTCTGCAGTCAGTCAGTCAGTCTGGTGGCCGAGCGGTCGTCGTCCCCGGGCTCGTCTCCGCCGGAAGTCTCATCACACCGGCTCCGGGGCGCCAGCCGAGCGTAGCGCCCCCGCCAGCCGCGCCCGGCGGCATGGTGACGTCACGACAGGCTATCAGTGACGTCAATAGTTGCCGCGTGCCGCCACTTGGCTAGAAAATTGTTCGCCGCTTGCGGCCAGGAATAGGCTTGATAAGCGGGTTAACTTTGCGGGCCGTGGGTGGCAGGACTTTGTCGTGGCTCCCTCTCCAGGTGTTAATACGACCTCGCGGCGGAAGGAGCGCAAACTCGAGTCAGTGATAACAGGCGTTTTGACAAAGATACCAGGAAGTGTTTGCTTGTGGTAGAACGCTTTAATGATATGAGAATGATAAGAAAGCGCGTGTGGCCGTTGCAGATGCCTTGCATCCGCCACCCCATCCTCATCCGGCCTCGCTACATCCCGTATTGAGGTGCTGGTCTCAGCCTCAGCCTCAGCCGCGGTAATCTGGGGGTTACATTTCGTAAGGAATTCGCACAGGCGGTCATTGCGGCAGGCTTTGTTTTCTGGACCGTGCACGCTGTCCGCTTCAGTGAATAAGCCAAGCGTCTGTTCTGGTGCCGGATGTGGGACTTCTGGAGCCACGAACGGTCGAGTCTGAGCGGCCGGGGATGTTCACAATTGGAGAACCATCAGCCACGTGGGATCGGCGACGACACCGGCCATGCTGTGGCTGTTGGCTTATTGTTCACCCGGTCAGGGCACCCACCGTCGTTGGTTACTAATGCTACAGAGTCTACTGTAGTGGCCTTACAGGCTTCTGCAGAGGTTTCAGAGGTCCCAGGTGGCGCTCCAGAGCCATAACGTTATGACAGGAGCAACAGAGCGACGGAACAGGCTCGTGTAATAATCAGGAACGGCAGAGCGACGTGACAGGCTCATGTGATAATCTCGTCAGCTTTTTCTTGCCCACGCAACGGCGTCTAGGCTATTTGTGCCGATAGGGAAGCGTCCGTCTGAATAGGTCATGGTGGGGCGTGGGGTCTAAAGCAGGTCATACTCATGGCACTGAGTCTGAATAGGTCATGCTCAGAGCATTGCGTCAAGAGTAGGCGATACTCAGGGCGTGGGGTCTAGATTGGGTGATACTCAGGGGCGTGTGGTCTAGAGTAGGTGATACTCAGGGCATGGGGTCTAGAGTGGGTGATACTCAGGGCGTGGGATCTAGAGTGGATGATACTCAGGGCGTAGGGTCTAGAGTGGGTGATACTCGGGGAGTGTGGTCTAGAGGAGGCTATGCTTAGGGCGTGGGGTCTAGAGTGATGCTCTGCGTTGTCTGAATACGTGGATCCAGGGTCATCTGAGTTGTCATTCTCAAATCTTCTCAAACCATCAGCGCATTTTTCGGAAAATTCCAATCCCGCTTACAACATATCCTGCAGCTCAAAAGCAGGACGCAAGTTAACACAAATGTCAACAGTAGCAAGCAAATCCGCATAAGCTCGCTGTTTTTGGAGCAATATTGTAATATTTAACTTGTCCGAGCCATTTGGTTGTGCAAGGACGGAGCCGGAATTTTCTGCCGGAGCATAGGGACGGAGCCCTATGAGAGTTCACGCAGGTGTTTATTCATGCTTGTCATAGGCCATTCACTGTGCTAGAAGAACAGCTGTGGGACCGGATTAGTGGTGCCGTGCAGGGCCCCTCTATTGCCTGCCCCTGACCCTTAACAAGCCTTAAATCCAATCCCGATCTGTGTCGTCCGAACATCGCTCCGTAAGTCCAGAGCTTGAGAACAGTCCAGCCCATCGCTTGATTAATCCAAATCGCCATTCGGGCAGTGAAAAAGGCAACTACAACCTTACCTTTTTTGCGCTCAAAACGTTTCATGACTCAGTGTGTGGCCCACATGTTTAATTTACTTTGGTGAAATATTGGTGGCCCTAACTCTCTAGTGCCGCCGGACGCGCCCCTCCCCTCCTCCTCCTCCTCCTCCTCCTCCTCCTCCTCCTCCTCCTCCTCCTCTTCCTCCCCCTGACTGCGCCTGTGTCAGCCGCCGGATGCGCCTCCCCCTCCTCCTCCCCCTCCTCCCCCTGAATGCGCCTGTGCCAGCTATCAGCGGCGCAGGCGGCCGTTTGGGTTCGACCCGGCACGAGCTGGCGACCCGTCCCTCCCGATTAGGCCAGATCAGCGCATAATGCGCCCATCCGTCTCCGTCAGGCGTCTCCGGAAGCGATGCTTTCTCTGAACGCCACCAGTCTCGGCGCCGCCCGAAGTACTGGTGAGATTGGGGCGTCTTCAGAAGGGATGATCGTTTTGCCCAAACGCATGTGAAGCCGTAAAGTTTCGACACGTCTAGTTTTTGGTGTATGTATTCCTCTAGGTGTAAAAATGTGCTACCAAGCTACCAAATTAGAGAAGCTGTCCTACTCCGCTTTCAGGCGACTATTGCTATAAACACAAAATTGGCACACACGATGAAGACACATTAAACACCGAAGTGACCTGCACGGATGCGTAGGCGCTGTCGACGCAGCAGTCAAGCGGAACAGGACCAGAACAAGTCAACAAGCCGCAAAATACGCATCCAAAAGAGACGTTTATTTCAGCGTTCGCCAATGACAGAACGAACCTCGACTCTCAGCTGCCCCCGCCCCGCCTCCTCTTTCCATCCAGCACTGGCCGGGGTCGTCATCGCTGGACATGTATCACCGGTGTTCACCTGGCTGTGGAACACTGCAGATCAGGCTTGTCATCGCTCCACGTGCATCACCGGTGTTCACTTGGCCGTGGAACACTGCAGGCCAGGGTCGTCATCGCTGGACATGTATCACCGGTGTTCACCTGGCTGTGGAACACTGCAGGCCGGGGCCGTCATCGCTGGACATATATCACCGGTGTTCACCTGGCTGTGGAACACTGCAGGCCAGGGTCGTCATCGCTGGACATATATCACCGGTGTTCACCGGCTGTGGAACACTGCAGGCCGGGGTCGTCATCGCTGGACATATATCACCGGTGTTCACCGGCTGTGGAACACTGCAGGCCGGGGCCGTCATCGCTGGACATATATCACCGGTGTTCACCTGGCTGTGGAACACTGCAGGCCAGGGTCGTCATCGCTGGACATATATCACCGGTGTTCACCGGCTGTGGAACACTGCAAGCCGGGGTCGTCATCGCTGGACATATATCACCGGTGTTCACCGGCTGTGGAACACTGCAGGCCGGGGTCGTCATCGCTGCACATGTATCACCGGTGTTCACCTGGCTGTGGAACACTGCACGGCGATCTACGGCCGGGGCGGGCGGCGGGTGACCGACGCTTTCGTGAACCGTGCGCGGCTGGCGGGCGCTGTTACATAAAGGGATCCATGGATCATAAATATGTGCTAAATACATAAAAAATACACACCATCGTACTGTTGATTAAACAAGAAACACGCCATTTTAGGTGTTGTGTAACTGCAAGGATATGACGTAGTAAATGTGATAACATAAAGCATAAAGTTTGATGCGGAGGAAAATTTTACTTTTGACGGGCAAAGTGGCGTCAATTATTGAGCTGACAACACCACGCTTATTGCCAACATTGAGCTATCGTTGACACAAACAATCCACTGATGTTGTCCGCGTGGCTGTATCTTTCGTGGTTTGGAAACAGCAGGGAGAGGGGAACAGGGTGGGGGGGGGGGGGGGCATCGCCATCCCCCCTGTCTGTTCACATGTGAAAACGGCACTTGTTAACCATTTCGTGCTGTCTTTCAAGCCAACGGTCATTTTCATGTGCACTGATCCCGCAAGCAGTAAACTAACAACTTCAGTTTGCAGGGTTTGTAGTTTTCTATTCAGTTCGGAGGAGGGGATCCAACACCCCCTCCCACACGCTTGGATCCTAGCCTTCCTAACTTTGCAAAGTGAGTTGGCCAGATTCGAGGAAAATGTGTTTGGTGACTTTTTCAGGCCTCGTACATATACAGTGCTCAGCCCCCGAACCCATTTTAAGAAATTACGCGCCCCTGCCAGGAAATCTGTATCTTGTGGCATCACGAACGCTGCGACCTGTTGTGGCGCGTAATAGACACTCAAACACAGACGCAAATGTCGCACACATGAGGCTTAGTGCGGGCTGAACAACGGTATTCCATGGGCACCGCTGGATTCATACCAACGCTAGGTCACCGAACCGCGGCAGCCGTGTGAAAACTCCTTTTGTGAAACTACTTTTGTGGAGGATGGAATCAGATTTCTGCGCTCATAATCTGTGAAAGGTTGTTTTTGACAAGTCATTTAGATGTCACTACGTGTTATTTTGTCTTTACTCCCTTTAATGCTTCTCACCATAGTTGACGGTGATAGGCTAGGAAGAATGCCTTTCGTGTCAAACTCCAAGCACTTATCGTGAGTGATCCGGTGGTGATAATCTGACGAAAGCGCCAATAGTCAAAAGTATTTCTAGTTTGACTATGTACTATCCACAATATGTCACCTAGTCTGGCATCGTTGCCTTCTGATCTTCGAGCTGATGTATACAACTCCTACGATTACTCCGTCACTAGCTGACGCTATCTATAACACGCGCTCGGGTGGGGGTCAAATTGGCTCCCTCAAGGTTTTTCACGCCATTTCGTATCACAAATTTTGATGTACCTTGTAAGGTCACTGGCCTATGGCAAGTCGAATGCAGTCCATGGTTTCAGCGAAGTCAGTTTCTAGGGAATCGTTCGATCTGATCCAAAAACAGAGTGCTAGACAAAGCCATACGCATTCGAAATACTTTCTTAGGCAACATAAACACTGAATGGGCCCGTTGCGTTGACTTAAGGTAAGGTGTGACGGTCAGACCAGGGTCAAAACCATCCTGTTTTGATGTTCTAGGGCTTGCCGTATGGGAAAGTTTCTGGTGCTCATTGATTATTTATTGATAGGCAGGATCGCATTTTACGCCTTCCATGTACTTTTTAAAGTTCAGAATAGGTCACTGGCCTAGAATGACTCAGGTCATCACTTTGGTTTTTGGAACATACTGCTTTGTTTGTTTAATAAAACACAATTTTGTTTGTTTGTTTGTTGAATTAAGCTTTGTTGTTTATTCATATGCAAAACTGAAAGCAGTCTCGTATGATTTCGGTCCCCGACCCTGAACAGGACAAGCAAGATCACTGACCCTTAATGGGGATGTGACATTTTGCTTAAAGCAGTTATCTAGGTTCAAGGTACCCTTTGGAGACCAACCTGGAATTTTAACTTGGTTGACCTTTTTTGATCCGAAGGTCATGGCGTAGCAACCTGAAATTTTGACCTAGGGAAGTTTACATACACGTAAACACACCCTGTAAATGTGATATCCCTAGCTGTCTTAGTTTCTGAGATCTCAGGAGGGGTCAACATAACCCTCCACCCCCTCCCCCCACCCGAGCGAAGGGTATCTAACCGGCCACTCGGGAGCGCGTTAATTCTGATTTCATCACCATTATTCACGTTTGGTATTTCGTAGGCCCAGCAGGCCAGTGAGACAAATTCCCTCAGTTGGTGGCTTTGCAACATATTTTTTCTCCGAGTGGCGTTTTTTGATCTAAAGGAATGAATACGCATGCAGACCAAGGGTTGACCGCAATGTTGTGGACCATACAGAAGCCCCTTTTGTGAGCAAAGAACCCACCGTAACGTCATTAGGAGTCAACCGTTGGGAGTCACTTAAGATCAACCATGCCGTTATCATTGCAATGTCTCTAAACGTGTTACCCCATATCCACTTAAATAACATCATTGATGATACGCTTTCAGAGTTTTTAATACTTGCCGTCCGATGAAGGCTTTCTTGGCTTTAAATCCCAGGCTGAAGTATGACAATAATGGGCCCTGGTACTGTGGACCCTGGATCTGTTATTTTCGACGTAACTGATTTGTAACACTGTTAGACAAATATGTTTTTGTCGAGTTTGGTGTGGCCGTGAGCTTATCAGCAAGAAGTCTTCACAAGCATGTTTAAAAAAAAATTGCCCAGAATTTCTGGCCGAAAATCACACTAAATCTGTGCTGCTTAAACATAAACGCTACAATCTTTTCGAAAGTTTTAAACAGCTTTGCACCGTAATCCGTCATGAGCATAGCTATTGCGCGCCATGCCATCGGCACTGACCAGGGGACGGAACTTTATAAAAGCATCACGGGGGAGGCAAACCCATGCGTGCCAGTAGGTGGCAACCCAGGCCCTATCCCAGGCCCTTCGAAATTATTTTGTATTGCGTTGGGTTCGACGTGTTATTTGGGAATGTTTGCCGACGTTGTGGACCGTGCCCTCCTCAAAGGGCTGCAAAGTTGAGTTTGGGTGACCCCGCCCTGGGGCTGCCCCGATGGATTTGCAACTTTTGGGAAGGTCATGAACGACGCATACAGGTCACCAGGGCGCATAACGTAAGTTATGGGATAGATGAATGCCACTGCAGTGGAGTGCGAAGTGGATTTAGACAGTTCGAATTCCAAAAGTGCAATTGGTTCACCCTCAACGCAATGTCTTCCCCCCACGACAGAACTAAGGCTTTTTCAGATTGTGTGGCGTCACCTTCCCCACCGTCTAGACGCGCCACTGCAACTTGTCTAACAAAAAGTGAAGTTACCAGATGGCCTGGACTGTAAGTCACCAGATCAGATTAAAGCGGATCCAAGCCTAGAAATTCCCAGTTCTTAATTTTCAAAATTTACCTCTACTTGTATTTGCACCACGTGACCGGCGGTGAAGCCGCAATCTGTAAAGAGCTTAAGTGGCCTTAGATCAGGTACACACTGCACGGGTTCGAACTATGTGTGCCGAAAACTAGCAAGCGCGCGTCCGGAAGTGATCGTACGCAGCACGCGAGCGCGAGCGCGATACCACCCGGAGCTGTGGTGTTTTGGGAGTGGTGAGAGCGACAGACCAGAGGCCAATCAGCGCCCAGAGCCCCATCAAGCGGCCTCTTGGCTCGGCACGGCAGCTGCCCCCACCTTGTTAAAGCCCCGTGTGGAGTGCGTCACGCCTCTGATGGCTTTTCCGAGTCTCAGTCTCAGCAAAGGACTGCGGAAAATCTGTTGCGGTAGGTGTCAGAACAAGCCCCTATAGCCTCCCGCCCCCCAGCAGCGTGTGTGTGCGCATGAGTGTGTGTGTGTGCGTACGTGTGTGTGTTTGTGTGTGTGCGCGCGTGTGCGTGTGCGTGTGCGAGTGCGCGTGCGTGTGCGTGTCGTGTGCGTGTGCGTGTGCGTGTGCGTGTGCGTGTGCGTGTGTGCGTGTGCGTGTGCGTGTGCGTGTTTGCGTGTGCGTGTGCGTGTGCGTGTGCTGTGCGTATGCGTGTGCGTGTGCTTGTGCGTGTGCGTGTACGTGTGTTTTGCATGTATATGAGCAGGTTTGTGTGTCTGTGTTTTTGTATGTTTGTAAGTCCTTTTTTCATGCATTGACAATGACAGCATATTTGCTATTGACCTTTTTAGGATTGGATTTAATCGCCCAAACTGAATTATTAAATTGTTAGGCCATTGACATTTTCAAGCATGGGGAATCATCTCACTTTCAACAGGCGTGACTGATTTTGTTTTTTTCAACTTACGATGGTTAGTCCAAGCCGTGAGTGCCACGACAAATATAAAATCCAGAGACTGGGATGCTATCCAATTCGAATGTAAAGACCATCCTCCAAGAAACCGAGAAACCAAGAAACCAAGAAATCAACCAGAGACTAAGAACTGCTCACGCCCGGCGAATGGACACAACACACAAGGAACTGCGTTCAATGGTAATGGCAGAAACCAGAAAGTTATCACCTGTGAGCCCAGCTTTCAGAGGAATTTGGACCAGGAGCTTCTGTGTTCGGTCAAGATCGGAGTCCGGCTGGTCTCGGCCGGGCGATAGCTGGATATATTCGGA